GCCGTGACGAAGTAAAAAAGCCGTAACATTTTTGCAGCAATCGTGTGTGTTGCGGCGATCTCTATGATATAAAATACGCAATTTTTCTTCGGTGTCACATTTACAATCATATTGCGAAAATAATATTGTTCTTCATATATCAAAAATTGTGCAGCAGAGCTGTATATACGTTTAATTTATACGTTACAAATACATTTACATCCGATTAATGTTGTATTATTAAAGAAAAATGTATATGGAGTTTTCTCATTCTCTCATTCAATCTCCTTATTTTTCGATGATAACAACCGTTCGAACTGATATCGGATCCTGTTACGTCGCTTTGTTCATTATGCAATCTCACGCTAGCTCCGAAGCAAATATTGCAAAGTCGGCGATACAATCTAGAATATTGAAACTGCTGCCACACAATTTCGCGCCTTGCGGGAAATGAGGAGAGTGGTCCACAACATTATCGTTGATTGCCTATAAATACGCGTCACATCCGACCAAGTCCTATTTGCAACTTGTTTCGCGACAATAGCGGGCAATTCTAGTTGGCCGCGCATGCCAGAACCGCTGTGCGAAAGTAATTCATATTGTTTGGTATCGTCGAATCAATTTCTGAAGCACCGCGAGTAATGTGTAAAATTCAATTTTATGTAATTACGTGATCGCGATGCACAAGCGCTCGGACGAGAAGCAAGTTAAATCATATTATTATTCGAAATTCCTTTACAAGCTCAACAGAGCATCGTAATGAGAGAAATTTTTCTACTTCTTTTAAAGATGGTACGTTGAAAGATAAACGATAGAGTGGCGAAGAAAATTGATTAGCAAAATTGATTAATTGCAACGTGATAGATAGGACAGTAGAGAACGAGGCGGAATGTATCATATGACACGATTCACGTGCAATGACAATTACAGTCGTACAATTCCGTCGAGTTTGCACATTTTTCCGCGCTGCAATTGTTACCGTTCTAAAACGGCGTTTAAACGGCGACCGAACGCTCGAAGATGTATTTCGAGCTATTAAGCCCAGCGGCAAGCGGGGGGGCTACTCCGGCCATTGGGCGTGCAACAATGCTCCAAGTTGTAACAAAAGTTTCACGAATCCGAGGCATTCGACCCCGTTTGCTAGCGCGGAAACGAGTGAATAACGGGCTTCTCTCCGCGCAATTCGATTTGACGGAACGGGCTAAAGTACACCGCCTTAATTCATTCTGCCTCGTGCTACCTTTTCCAGGCCGCTTCTATCCATTTACGCCGGCGCGCGCGTGACTTTTCGCCTCCTCAGGAGAACGAGAATGCGAATGAACGGATCTCCGTACAATTCAGAATAGATCTTTCTACGTTTTTACCCGAGCTTTCTCTCTCTCTCGTCGGGCTTTCCTCTGCTTCAAAAGACTCAATTATTTTCCAGAATGTCCGTCGCCGTCATTTTTCTTTTTTTCTTTACGACGCGTGCATATATACAGTAAGAAGAAAAATCAAGAACGGAGAGAAATAATTGTCATGGAAATTGTTAAGAAGACGTTTAAATAGTTGGAATGAAATAGCTATAATATAATAGCTGACCGCTGGCTATGAATTGTAGACAGAGCTATTAAGAAGAATGAGCTCATCCGGTTAAATTTTCAGAGAACGTATTAATTCCACGCAGGACTCGTTAAATTTCAAAGACTATATTAAATCTAGAATTTAATTGAATACGTTGTACTTTTAGCTGTAGTATTATATATTATGGTTCTTTTTTAAATATTTTTTCTCGCAATCTCTTATACATGTCGTACAGACTTCAGTCACAAATAGTCTTTTATAAAAACAATCTTTCTTGGTTTTCATGTTATATTAATTATTTGACTGATTACTTGCTAATTTCACTTTACGATTAAAACAAATACGAATATTTACCTAATAATGAATAAAAATACGTAAAAATGCATTTTGGGCTTTATAAATATCAAGGAAATATAACAAAGTTTTGTTCACAACAAATCATGGTGTACCTATCGCAGTTATGTAACTCCATACACCACGGTTCACATTTTTCCATTTCCAATATCCCCTGTAAATTATTGTATTACTGAAAGCGAACGAAACGTGAACTTTTGAAAAATCCGGATAGATATGGACTTACACGATACGATAAACCAAATATTCTCATTGGGATTGGTGGCACATTGCAATTTTTTAACGATGTGTATCACATTTCATATTTTCGACAACCAAGTTTTTCATTGAGGAATTAATAATAAACACAAAAAAAAAGAAAAAAATATATATATATATATATATATAATAATAGTAATAAAGTATAGGTGGGGTATTTTAACAAACTAAGTATTTTCTTGATAAGACGCATTTCCTGTCGTATCTCATTAGTCTTTTGAGTTACAATGGCGTTGCGACTGATTTAAAAAATCAGAAACTACCTGCGCAGCAGCGCCATGATATAATTAATTAATTAATTTCACGAAAGCCTTACCGTGCCGCGCCGATCCGTTGCTTGTAGGTATCTTCATCGTGTAATTTTCCTCCTCGTCCAGAAACACGTAGCTGGCATTAAAGCCCGTAGCATCGAGACGATCGTTACTCTTGAACGTAACGCGAAAGAACTTCCTGTCGCTGTAAACGTCGAATTCTTTCAGCTGACCGCAGTGTCTCGGGTACTTCCGATCTCTAGCCATGAAGTTGGAGAATTCGACGTAATCGCTGGCTGATACAGCTTCACACCTACAAAATTTCGCGTTAACTTTTATATTTTTAGGTAGGAGAACGCATTATCGATGGTTTGATTAATCATTTGCAATAGCATACGATGTACAATTGATATTCTGTACAATTGTGATAGCTGCTAATTATTAATCATAAAGATTAAAATATTAAAATAAAAGAACGATAATTTGTATTTCATATTAATTATAATGTGTACAGATGCGTAATTGGATGCATTTTGTTATTATTTGTATTTTTCTTCGTATTTATTTTTCATTCAATTTTAATTATCTCAGAAGTATACAATTGCAGAAGTTCATAAAATAAACTACCATGCTGCAAAATATCAGACTTATTTGTATTGCAAAAGCCATTTTAATTAATCCTTTTTATCAAATTATTAATTATGTTTTAAAATAAAAGCATTACTATAAAAAATTGGATCTGACTCTATTAGAATATATTAATAAGTAAAATAAATATATCGATTCTCAGAGGATTAGCTAAAGTTTGGTTAGTTAAATGAGTCACTTAACTTTTCCTGCAAGCTTTGATGGCTCAAAAACTTTTTGCTGGTTGCGCATTTCATTAAGAAAGATAGTTATATGTATCCATCATCTATTATTTCTAGAAGTTTGTCAGTGAGATTTGATTCCTGTTTTTCATATTCATGTAAAATCAAAATTTTGATAAAGTTCACGTACCTGCTATGTATATTTGAAAATATGAAGATTACAGATTATTAAACATTGAACTGGCGTTCGATATATAAACTATTCAAACTTCCACGCGATTTTACATTCTCCCTTCAAAATACGCCTTACGAGATATGCAGTACATTGATATATATTCCCGATGAAAAATGGAGCAGCAAAAACCCCAATATCTACCTCTGGGAGGAATATCGATAAAATCCGGATGACTTTTCTTAACAGTCTTTCTTGGCTACCCCTCAGTCATAAATTGCATTCATGGCTCTCTCCGGTAACGTTTCCATAAATAATCCAATCTCAGTCTATTATTCACATCATTCTAATGTGAATGTTACATACTTATGCATGGCGATTCTACAAAAAAGATTTCCAAGATTTAACCCTTTGCTAACAATAATAATTTTGTTACTTGGACGATATATCAACCTGTTGTTATATATTTGCGTTATTGTTTTATAGAATTATTTGGGCAAGATGTCTCTTATTCTTTATAATATTTTATAATTAAAAGATTGATAATTATTTATTATTACATTCTTTAAATAAAGATAAATGAAAAAATTTATCTTTTAAAAACAACGTAAGATCTTGTCCTATGTCGTGACGAATCGTTTAATTAAACTTTTCACTTTCATATTTTCTACTTGATTATACATTCAAATTTCCATATCTTTTCTTTCAATTTTCTCTTTTTTCTCGCTTTCTTGCCGTTACATTGTCCTTCCATTATTCCGGATTTGTATAATTTAGAATAATTCACATCTCGCATTTTTCTGGATATTTGAACGTGATCACGTGATAATGACATGACGGCATCCATTATACGTCGATCAGTGAGTGGGATGGCACGATGCTCGAATGCGAACTAACGTTTTGTGTTTCGTGTGTTTTTTCGCATCTGAAATAAATTTCACGTAAATAAAAGTCGAGAATGCCAGTAATTTCCTAGTATTCAGTAACGAGCGATCATCGTGAAATGTTCGCTAGCGCCACCAGTCACGATTATATCAACCTATTAATGTGTTCGCTGAGTGAGTATAACCTATATAACATTTATCGCGTCGCGCTGGACATTATCGTCAAATCATCAAACAAATACAAAGTTGCCTCTGTTTTTCGACATATTTAAACATATCTCAGGAGTGTCGGAGATGTCGAATTAAATCACAATCATCGAGTTAATTAATGCGTATTCGCGATTGTACCAGTCTTTCGATATTCATAACGGATTGGATTGCCGCGTCACGTTGCATTTTGAATATTGCTTACTGAATCACATTGAGAGATCTAGATGTAAAGTTAGCTTTTTAAACATATCTCTAAAGTGTCGAGCAAAATTACGAGTGATCGTCGCGTTTCGCGTTATTTATTTATTCGAGAGTATAATCGCGCGTTGGGAGTGTCGAATGCATTAACATTCAATGTGATAATAAAGTGATGATTATTAGCTCTTCCGATGATGTTCATTTTTGATATTGTGACTCGCAATACTATTCTATTGTGGACATTGACGCAATGCGGAATTCTTTAATGGACAGAATTGTTTCACGCTTGTAATGGTGAAAGTTATTTCGGAATCTCGTTGAAGTGCATCGCGCTCGTAGAATTCAGAAGTACCATATGAATTGACTGGAATTGAACGGATTGTGGGACAACGAATGGTGAGTAAATTTTAATAAAAAGTATAATTCTTAGATTGCATTGTTATTGTGTTATTATATGATATGAATTGATCAATCAACGATCAATTTAAAGATATATAAGAGCGTGTCGATTAAAATCTTTTATCGATTTAATCTATCAAATTTGTAAGATTGGAAAGAATTTCGATATAATTTGTCGCGTCGTTAAGAAAAGAAGCAGAATCTATGTTATAATTTTTTTCTATCATATAAAATATTGGATAAGGTAATAATCTATTACTGTCTCATCAAGCATAATTAACGACGATCGAACTATCGTATCGCATGGTAGATAAATAGAAGCGATAAGTAAGATTTACGTTGCCATCCGGCTGTTGCGCGACGACACATTCACCGCGAGACAAACAATATATCGCCGGGAAAAGAAATATTGATGCGTGAGCGATGGAGCTATTATCGCGGCGAGGAAAATATATATGGCGAATAGTGCGAGGGCTCGCTAGTTGGCCCGATGACATAAGTGGCAATTCGGGTGATAAATCATCATTCCCTGGCGCGCTTCCTTGTAACCTAGAGCGTCTCGAGAATACTGTTTACCGGTGGTCAGATTTACGAGCGAGTATGCATCTTTTTCCGGTGTGCTCTTCGCCGCGCCTCGTTCCGCCACGCCTTGCCGTACCGCGTCGGCGAGCTTGGGGGTGAAATGCATCTGTGAGTAAAGCACCGAAGGCGCACTTGGTCCAATCGAACTCTCGTTTCGTTTCACGCGGAGGGCAATATTTACGATTACCGTTTTCCGAAGTAGCACCGAGGGAAAATCTTCCCACGGCCGGCCGGTCGGCCGGCCGGCCGCAATAAATAGTGCCGGGGTATGCGCCGCGTCGATGTCGGCCGACGTCGAAATTATTAATTTATAAAGCGAACCGCGTCGCTGACCGAGAACGACGACGACGACACGGACCAGCGAATTTCGCATTAGTCCAGAACGCAACGCTTCGTGTTCCTTCGTGTCGATGCGATGCGCGCATTGCATCGTCGGCTGGCGCCGTGTGCGACAAACGAGCACCACGCCGTTGTATAAAATTCGACAGAAATTGGTGAAACATGATTAATTAGCGGCTTCCGGTAATGAACGTAGCGTTACGTTGCCGCCGGAATATTGATGGTCCTGCGATTTAATACGACCCAATTAGGAGCAGCTATCGTATGACCCCGGCGCCCACCAGCTTTCCTCGTTTGCCTCTCGCTCTCTCGATCGCTCTTCCACTATTCTGTTTCTCTTTATCTTTCGCATGCACATGTAGCTGCCAATGCTTTTCTGTCTTTTTCTGTACATCTGTCTCCTATGTTCCTCCCTTCAATATATGCGCGAAACTTGCGCGTCATGTCGTTATATTTTTCAAAATATATTTTGCAACATGTTACATTTCTCGTTATATTGGATAATAGATAATATGACAGTCTGTGTAGCGTGGATGACGCGTAATTGCCTCTGTTTCTCGAGTATTGGCTGCTGAACCTTCTCTCACCGGGGGAAACCCTACTTCGTGTGTTCCAATAAGTAGCTGAGAACTTGGACGCAGTTTGATATAACGAGCCATCTCAACTCCCGCGAGGGGCTCAAAATTGAACGACTATCGATTAGTCTCCGCGTGGAAAGATTTCAAATTTGCTTAAGCTGCTCGTGTTGCGTCTATTTTGACAATAGGCGAGCCTATAAATTCCCAATTTCTCAATAAAATTTTATACGTACGAGCGCATCGTGATTCTTTCGATGTTACAAACAACCGAGCAATTAATTTGCTTCGTTATCGATATTTGAAACGCGGATGTTTCATTAAATATTAATCATTGTTAATTAGATATTTTAATTTAATTTGATATTTTTGTCACTATAATTATCGTTACCGTTTAATCGTGGTTTAATCTTTTCCTCATTACGAATATCGCATTATCAATCGTATTAATTTATTTTCGTTTCGTCCTATTGTTATATTTCTCTACTGCGCTATTATATTTATCGCTCATCATCAATATCGTTGGACACTTACGCCAGAGTTTTTCAAAATTACTTGCAATTTCGGTGAGTAGTTATTTCAATTTGGCTATATCATCGGATTATCGGATCAAATCTTGCGGAAAGAAAACACGAAAGGACTTGCTCATTGATTGAACTTACGGTAACACTCCCTCGACGTCGAAGAAGTGGAAATGAAGGTGAACCCGCTCGTTAGGTTGACCATTGAAGAAGTAGTAGCACTCCGTGTTACGAGGGTATAGCCCGGGATAATTTGGCGACGCGAATGTACCGTTTCGGGTCTCGTTGCTGTTGAAGGCAAAGGCACACGGATATTTCTCCTCCTGCCGACCTGTCGTTATACCAAAGTCTGAAACAGTAAAGCGTATTCATAAGGATCAATATTCGTACGAGTGAAAGCATCTTTTACCTCTTCGTAATCTCAAATTTATGACAATTTTATTCTTTCAACTGTTCTTCAATCGTTCCGACATTATTGCGAAGAGAAAAAAGAGAGTAGAAAATAATCACAAGATTGATTCAGCTTGTACGCTAACGGCATGAAGAAGGATACGACGATTTCTCATTACTTTTTTTTGACCGTCAATGTTTATTATCCTTACACATTTCATTATTGCAGGGGCGTTTATAATCCCTTGAGCGGCTTAATAAATATTGACATGTACTAATGGTTGACTGCGCAATGTAATACAAATCATTGGCGGCACAATCGTGACATTGTAATACGCTCGAGAAATATGAATAATATCGTAGTAATTAGCAATGTATTATTAATCGACAGTTTCGATGTAGACAGAGGGTCGAAATCAAATATTAAAGTGGGAGTTTCGATTCGCATCCCGTGCAGTATAAAGCTCCGTGATACCCCGTGTAAGCCTGCGGCGCACGATGCTTGTTCCCATGCTAGATTGCTTACAAGGCGGTTTGGTGACAACGGTGTCTGAAAATGCGGTGGGCTGCGCGCATGCTGTTGTACGTGCCAGCATGATGGTTCTCGAGGCTAAATCCGATGGTGTTTTTGCTACATGACGCACTATTGGTCGCGCGAGCATGCAACCAATCAGCAAGGTTTTCATCCCTAACTCATTTCTCGTTTGCCGCGACAATCGATTTTTCTCTGTGTTTAATGCCATTTTTGTCCTAACGAAAAAAAATTGTCGCATATCCCTTCGCTCACGCGCGCAACTTGATTTTCCAACGCCGTCAAATTGCATAAAGAATCGAGATTATGCTTTCAATCGATCGGATTTCGCTGGGCAAGAATTGACAGACACCAGGATCAATCAGCTGCCTTATTCAAGCGAAAAATAGCTATGTGGACTATCCAGTATAACATCGAATTGCTATATCGCCATAGTGAACTGCATTGATTTCTCCTGTTTTTCCTCCGCAAGAAATTATTCTACCTCGCCACGTTTTTGCAATCGCGTTAGTATTGTCGTTTGCAAACGTCCGATGTAGTTGAATCTGTTCAGGACTTATCCTGCGCTATTCTCGCGACAATCGAGAGGCACCTTGGACCGTCGGGACGGTAAAATAATTGAATAACTCCTCGCAAACATTCGAAGCGTCCGCCGTTGGCGCGTCGTTGGCGCGTCGTTGGAGACCCTCCCCGATTCTCTCGACCGATTAAAATTTCCCGACAGGAGCGGCCGAAACCTCATTACGGACGACTCAATTAACTTCGATCGCGACGGACGCCCCAGAGCGACGGCTAGCGACAGGGAGCGGATGCTTTAGGAAAGATCGGCGTTTCTTCCCGCCGGGAAAACTTCCCGGAAAGTGATTTCCATCCTTCGTCGCTTTCTCTTGTTGAAAAATATCCGGTCGGTTTCAACGCAACGTCGCCGTCGGCGGCTTCCTCACTAAGTTGCACGCGGAGCGTTTACGGCAGGCGGTTGCGGGAGAGAAGAGAGATCAGACGAAGAGAGTATGTTAATTACGAGATTGGCCCCGTTGTCACACAGGCCCCCGTTTCAAACGACTCCGGCCGTCGCGCGGTGGTTGCAGTTACTGCGGAACTCCTCTCGAGAGTTCCTAAAGTGCGGTTCACCGCGTTGCGAGAGAGCGCGGGCCAAGTTTCCCCCGGGCTGTAAACATCGAGTAATAAGCTTTCGCGAGACTTTTGCGCTTAGTTAGCCGCATTTGTTATGGTCACCGTGTACGCGGCCCGTCTCGCTGCGGCCGACTTGCCCAAAGGAGGGGAACACAACGCAGAGCTCTCGGCCTCCGGGGAGAAAAGTGTGAAAACGTTTGAAAAGCGCTGCGAGAACGCCGCTACCGCCAGACGACACGGGTCAGCTCGGAGACCATTTTTCCCAGCGTATCTTTTTCTTTTTAGCTCACCCTGCGATCGTATTGTCCCTTTCACCGCGGCGCTGCCAACTCATGCAAAAGTCGACTGCAAGGCTGTCTACTTCATATTCATAAGAAGTAATACTAAAATTCACAGTAGTAATCCAGAAATTGCGAATAATGCATAGAAATTGGGACTCGATTTGAATGAAAACAGATAGAATTTAGATTTTTACCAAATCAATCTATACTTTGTCCGCGAAAGGTTCACGTGAAAGAACATTTTGCGATAAATATAACACTCTGAAGACTAGAATCGCGTTCAAACGTGCCGCAGTGTGTTACAACCTGTAATTTTCCAATACCTTATTCGCCAAATATAATAGTCTACAGTCTTTTCGTGTCGCATTTTTCTTCGTTTGCAATCAAAGAGTGGACGTTTCACATTTCAAACATTTGGCGTTATATATATATGTGTGTGTGCGTGTGTGTGTGCAAAAATTTCTATAAATATAAATTCTATAAATTCCTTTCTCATATCATTTATGGAATGTTGTAAAATGGTTGTAAAAAATATTTGCCAGCTATAAAAAAAACGATAGGTTTTTAGGTTTTTTTTTTTTTTTTTTTCTATGGAATGACAATACAAATTTTGTGGAAACGTTAAGTTTGGATTTCCGCGTGCACAATCGTATCGATCTATCAATATCGTAAAACTGATTGATAGTTTATCGAGAGTATGATTCTTTTGAAAGAAATAATTATATGATTTTACTATAAAATATGTATGTGTATTATATATTGATTTTTTAAATACTGTATTAGTTTTATGATATATTACATCATATATTGTTCATTACACATTTATTACATATAAAGTTTTATTACATCTCTCAATCAGTACCATGTATGAGACTGCCCAGTTTTTTCTCCAATATACTTTTATTATTATATTCTTTAGATATTTTATTTTTACAGTTTACATTTTTAATTAGTTTTCAAATGATACAGAATTAGTCTTTAAATGATACAGAAAGAAATATTTATTTGAAGCATATATACTAAAAGTAATACGAAACGGATATCGCGTTGCAATTGAACGACCAGTGTTTGTTCGTACGCGTGTCGTTTAATAAAATTGTTAAATATATAGATATTGCGCAGTATTTTCGTAGAGAAAAATGTTCGGGTGCGATTAATGTTCTAGTGCATACGTCGCGCCGTGATTTTTATTGTTACGAGCTCGTAAAGAAGTACTCCTTCGTGACAGCGCGCACCATACCATACCGTATAATGCGCATCGAGATACTGCGAGCGTTTAGCATCCGACATAATGCTACCATACGAGTTAAACTCCAACGCGCTAGATATGTACGCCGGCGTATATATTGTTCCAGATACTTCCGGTTTCTCGTAGCGCGTTTATGTACTTTAGAAAACGACTGTTGCTCTTTCTCTTCTTCGCCTACTATTCTTCGTATGATAATATCTCTCTCTCTCTTTCTCTCTTTCCCTCTCTCTCTCTCGCATTCCGCTTTCATGTCCCTCGTAGCTAAGTAATATCTTGATTTACGTAACGCGATACAATTGCAACGGTATTCATAGCAACGCGGCATTCGCGAAGATTTTAATCAGACAGGCATGATATCAGCATATGATGTTAGCGCAGACCGTAGACCCCGAAAGCTTGTCTGGCAGATTAAGCATGGAATTCACCAGTGCCGCATCGCCGCTCGTTGTATCTCTGGATGCAGCAGATTGCGACCTTCTGTGATCTAAGCGATTAGGCTGGCTTTCATTTCATAATCACGCAGAACAGAAATTAGTTAATTTTATTTTTTGACGAGAAAAAAACAAAGATAGAAATTATACGATTTATCAGAATTGCGAGACAAAATGCAAATATTTAGTTACTTCAGTTATAAGTCTAAGGAAAAGCAAATTGCGAAAAATATTCGTGGAGGTACAAAAGTATTCCTGGCGGGATTGGAAGATGCATCAAGAATGCATCATTCCATGCAGCCAGCAGCGTTGTGCATTAGCCAGTTTCGATTAAGGGAGCTTAATAGCATTTTTCATCGAAATTATGATGGACGCGTTTATTAAAATTCGATAAAACTACATTAAATGCTCTTCAACAATGGCGACAGATAATCTAGCAAGTTTTGCCTTTATACGCGCGCTTTTCGCAGACAATGCAATCCCAATGATATACTATTCGTAATCGCAACGTGCCTATCTGTTGATTCCACATTCGCAATCTTAATCTAATCGAGAGTGTGTGGGTAACAAAATACGGTAGCGTGATGCGGTTTTCGAGTGCAAAACAGTTTCGCTGATTCATTGAGAATGAAATGCCCTACGCGCGTAAAGCGCGTCGTGTAATTAGCAACGCGACAACCAGATCGCAGCATCCACGCGCACTGTAGTATCTGCTTTTAATAGAATTTACTCTGATGATTGGGTATAGTGCAAATATTTGTGAATTATATGTGTTCCACTCTAACGAAATGCGGAATAATCGAGAGTATTGCTAAATCAGCTGCTTATTACCGATGTGACTACTCATTATGGCTGAAATTATCATTCACTACTACGATGCCACTCGGTATTGTGTCGGGCGTAATAAAATAAATTTACAGGCTTGTGCTTGCAAATGCAAAAATTAGTACATTAAAATACATTCTTTTGCTTTTGAAAATTGAAACGGTGAGTTAATTACACGTGCATGTTTTACATGCTTTGTATACGAAATGTCCCAAAGCGTTAAAACTTATTAAGCAACAACGCTTTGTTTTTACGCGATTCTCCTCTTTTGTAGCGTATATTCTTTCTACGCAATCAATCGAAGTGACTGATGCGTGTGTCCTACGCATGTAATTCCTTAATGCGGCAGCGCGCGTTTCTGGTCGCAGCGCAATTTATCTCCCGTAGGGATTGGTCGTTGAATTTTGACGTCAGAATCGGATATTTATGACACGGTCACGCTTCGCTTTATGACATATCCCGATAGCTCGCGACGGGTAACGCGCGGTTAAGGGCACCGTCGGATAA